TGTAAAAATTACCAAAGTTGAGCAAAGAACCCACTGACTTTAGTGGTATGGCACATTTTCTTCTTTCAAACTAATCTCATCACATCCTTTCCCCATAATCCTTGATCAGTTAGTTCCTCTTCACTCTAGCAAGCAAGTTTAGTCTTTTCTTATATCCGGCCAGAAACAACATGAAGTAGAAAATCTACAGATTGCATTCAGTATCACCAATAAGTACCGCATTTGACTACTGCTCATACCATTTGGAAACCAGTCCTCACATGACGACTGGCCTGACACCTCATCCATCAACAGGGTGCCCAGAGCAGAGTTGGACGGTCTTCCTTGCTCCATCTCCAGAGGGGAGGCCCAGTTGGGAAACAGGATTCTCTTCCAATAGCAATTAGATCTTTAAGATCAGGCCTCAGCAATATGACCTAAAGCCATCCTTTCTTGCAACAAAGTCTCCAGCATCTTCAGAGAAAGAGACCAAGAGTGAGGCAAATGAGGAGAAATCCAGGTCTCCGTGGCCTGATTAGAAACTTTGTTGTGTCAAATAAACTTTGGCAACTGGAGGAAAGTACCCCATGGTTGCTCTGGCTTTAGAAGGATCTGTCCAGGGCTTCTCAATCTTCTTTTCACCCCTCTCTCTCTCACTCCCTCTCTCTCTCCCCTCTTCTCTTGTTTCAAAAGAGGCCTCTGGTCAGCGCTGATTAATAAGTGTTTTTTGTTGTGAAGTGTTGAATAATAGAGGATGGCCGGTGACCCAGTAAGGACTAAACCTTGCGCTGGTTTATTGTGGCAAGCTGAGAAAGGGGCTTTAGGCCCGGGACCCCAGGCACTGACCCGCACACATCCCGCGGATCGCCTATTCATTCGCACAGCCCTCCAGTCGCCCAGGCTCCCATTGTTTGCCGAGCAACAATGGAGATTTCGCAGGGAAAGTAAAGCTCTTTTCAGATTCCTCTCTGATGTTTTGCATTTAGGGAAACACCGACCTCCACTTTTTCCCCCGACATTTTCCCTCACGGCATTTAAAGCTGTTCGTTTTCGGGGAAACTTGTGTGAGTTTGGCGCTTGTTCGACCAACACCAGTATTAGGAGGAAGCGAGACGGGTGGAAAAGGAAGGAGAGCCCCAGAGATTTCCTTTTTTTTTTTTTTTTTTTTTTTTTCCTTGTGAAATGCATTTAGAGGACAGAAGCTGCCTCTAGGGAGAAAGGGGAAAGGGGGAGGGGAGAAGAAAAAGGAAAGAACGCGTTTCCTCGCCGGGGTAGCCGGGTGGCGCGGGCTTCGCGGCCCAGGGGCGGTCTGGCGGGCCCGCAGCTCCTCGCGGCCGGCTGGGAAGTGGCGGGTCCGGTTCGTCCGCGGACGGGCGGAGAGCTCCGTCGCTGCCTGTGTCCCCATTCCACCTTCCTTCTCCGCGTCCTTCCCCGCTCCTTCGCTCCCCGAGCCCGGGGCGGTCCCGCAGGCACCAGCGCCTCTGCCCTGCGCTCCTGGGCGGAGGCAGCCGGGAGGGGTGGCGGCGGGAATGGGGGCCAAGGCCCCGCCAGCCAGGGCCGCATCCCGGGACTGATTTCTGCTTTGCTCTCCTGCACCTGGCCCGGGGCAGGCTTTCTAATTTCTGCCTCGGCCCGAGGAGCCGACTTCCGCAGGGTCGGCTTGGGGCAGGGGATGTCGGTGGGGGCGGCCGGGCGAGGCGAGGTCGCGCGGAGACTGCCAGGCCTGCTTGGGCCTGGGCCACTGCAGCCGCCTCGCCTCGGCTGGGCCCTCGCCCCAGGACCACCAGAGCCGACCCGCAGCTCCCGAGGAAACAGCCGCCTCGGGCCTAAGGGTCTTTGCTTCCCCCCAAAGCAAACAAGCGTGGGTTGCCAGGTCAGCGAGTCTGGCGCGGAGGCCGGAGGAGAGTGGGGGGCTGGTGGGGCCCGATGGCCAGACAAGTGCGAGTCGGTTAGGGGTTTGCGTCCCTGGGGGAGGCGAAGGGCTTGCGGGGCCCGGGTCGCGAGTGCAGGGAGAGGGCGCCGCTTGGGGCCGTGCAAGGCCGCCCTCCCGGACAGGCCTCGTCCACGCCCTTGCGGCCGCCCAGACCCGCCGCTCTTCACCTTCTCCAGGCTCACGCCTGGGCGCGGAGCGAGGCTGAGCCCCCAAAAAGGGGCGTGGGGCAAGGGCGAGGGCGAGGACGCAACGCAGGCCGCAGAGCCCGGTGGGCGGCGTAAAGCGTGCGCTGCGCCTGCCCGCTTGGTCCCAGACTGCCGCCCGAACTCCCCGACCCAGCCTTGACAGCTCTCCCAGCAGCCAGAGGAAGAAGAGGAGGAGGAAGGACACAAAGAGGAAAGAGGAGGAGGCGGCGGCGGGCGGCGAACTGAGGGCAGCTCAGTGGGAGGAGGGCTCATTGTCCGGTCCCCCCAGTCCAATTGATATGCTAATCCCTTTTCTGATGCCATAACAAAGAACACCTTTGCACTTTTAAAAGACTTTTGTGCCCTGGCTACAGAAGTTTATTATCCACTAATTAGTAACAACTTCTGGCAATGAGTTGGGTTACATTTTCATAAGTTCCAGGCCTGAGCGACGAGGTGCGCAGGGCAGGAGGTTTGAGAGTAGGGCAAACCCGAAACCTGGCGCCAGAAAGGAATCGGCCTCTCACTTTCCTAGGCATAGGGCGCCCGGCAGGGATCGAAAGTAAAAAGTGTCCGGAAAAAGGCTCTTAGGGCGGGGATGGGGTGAGGTGGGGTGGAGATGAGCGATTTGGGCCCAGGGTGGCTGGTGACCTTATTGGACCCGCTTCTGTGGTCCCCATCCCGAGAGCTGCGCGGAGGCTGAGGCTGCGGCAGAAGTGCAGGTGTCCCGGCCCAGCCATCTGTTTGGGGTGGGGTTGGGGTGAAAGTCTCGGATGAATTTTGGGGTGCTCGCCTCTGCTCTCTCTCATGTTTTACTTTGAGGCCTCGACTCAGAATAAGCCGCCGGTGAGAAAGCGGCCCTTTCGTGGGAAACGCGCCTAGCGCTTGGGTTCTTTCCCAAGGCCTCGCCACCAACAAGGCTGAAATTCCAAGACCCTGGAAGATGAGGCAAAGCTGGCATTGCCAGAGTCGGGAGAGAGGGGAGGATGCTGGGTAAAGTGCCCACCCGGGCTGGTCTGAAGTCGTCACCTCACAGAGCCGACTCTGCTGCTAACCAGAGCAGAGAGCCGCACCTTCCCAGCGGCGGGCCCCAGTGCGCACCGCGTGACTTTGCTTCCCCCAGGCTCTGCAAGTCGTTGAGGACCTTTAGCAGTCCCGCGTCCCAGGTCAATAAACTGGAAAGGGATAGAATGAGAATCATTGATGAGAGATAAAGGGCAGCGGGGTGACGCGCATTCCTTGTAGTGCCTCCAAAAAAACCGTAGTCTCTTGCGGCTAATAAAACACCCTGGTGGTGAGGCCTTCGGTCTGGACTCAAACCGCAGAGATGTTTTGTCTTAGGTAATTCGAGCCCCCAAACCCAGCATCTTGGGATTATGTTATACACACACTTATATTCTTTCTGTATTTTTAAAAATTCTTTCATTTTTGGTTTTCTGCTTTTTGCAAACGACCCCGTTGGAGATATTGTTGGATATTTCAAGCAGATGTCAAGTGGGTGTTGGCGGCCTGTGCGTCCTCCTGCAGTAGCAGCAACAGCCAAGTACGGTTTGATAAATGCTCAAGGTGAAACGTGGCCTTACTCAAAACCCCAGGGTGATTTAGGGTAGAACAGCGAATATTCAGAGGCGGGAAGTGGTAAGTTATATTGTTATATTCCCTTTCGGTGGAACTAAATGCGGTTTTCTGCGGTCCTAACCTCTCTCGCATCGGAGTGCAATGTTTCTGAACAAGCGCTGTTAGAACTGGAAAATGGGAGGGGGTGAGGGAGCCCACAGACGACTTAACGGAATCCTACTGAAGAAAATACAATGATAACCAAGATATTCATGATATTACATCCCATGATCTTCCAGACAAGCGTCTCACCGGAGCAAGAAAATATTCCCAAATTTCTCTCCAGCAGTGGCCTGGGGTGGGGTGAGAGAGGAGGTGGGTGGTGAATGTAGGGAAGAGAAGGGCTCTCTCTGTTGTCACCCTCGGCCCCCTTCATTGAGGAGAAACAATGGCCAGGCCTAGAGTTCTTTCTGAAAGAGAAACGGCAGGAAGGCAGAGTTGCTCTTTGTACCCTAGCCCCTTTAGAGGAGGGGGAGTCGTACACAGGATCCCCCTGATCACTGGGCGGTGTCCGGGAGATCAGAACCCCTCAGATAGTCTGGGAGCTAAAAAGGCGCCGGCCCTGTCCTTCCAGAAGCCCCAGACAGCCGCCGGAAGAAACCCAAGCAAAACTCCGCGACCTCAAAATTCGCCAGGGGAGAAGGGGGGAGACGAAAACCACTCACTCTCACATGGCCAGTCAGTCCCCCCATGCCACCATCCCAATGTCTGATCAGGCTTGATTCTGCTGACGTGTGTATTTCAGATTAAGGATGTATTTATTTATTTATTTATTTAATCCTTCAGATCTTCCCACCCCATAAAAGAGACTTAATTCCTTTCCAGGGCGACTGGTTGATAAAAAAAGGCTCCATTTTAAAGCAATGGGGGATCATATGACTGTGACCTTGACGTGTGAAAGGGGGGAGGGGTAGGTAGTTTGGGGCCCAGACCTTAGGCCTCTGCAATTCTGGGGCGTTCTAGGCCCTTGATAAGAACATCAAGAAGAGGGATTGCTTTTCAAAGGTTACCGTTAGCACTTCATTCACTAAAGTTGAGAATTCGGTATTTTTATATTACGTGAAAAACATGATTTAATTATACTCCAAAAACAAATTAAGGACAGGCCTTCTACACAAATTGGAGGCAGCTAAATGCTCTTTTGTGCCTGCAGCCCTCGGGTTGTTAAAGAGGCTGCTGATGCATGAGAAGTAAGTGACTGATTTAACTCATTGGGATGCAGGAAGCGACCTGCCCTCTTTTGAAAAAAAGCAAGAGAGAGAGAGAGAGAGAGAAAGAGAGAGAGAGACTTCGAGCTTGAGAAGAGAGAGGGAGGGGAGAGGAGAGGAGGGAGAAGGAAATGACAGAGAGAGAGAGAGAGAGAGGGAGAGAGAGAGAGAGAGAGAGAACGCAGAGGGAGGGAGGCAGGGAGGGAGACCAAACCCCCGCTTTACTGCGTTGAAGCTTCTGAATTTCAAGCAGAAAGTAGAAGGAGCTCCAAACGGCAGTGAGTGTCTTTCCTTGGGCTGCGTGTGGCGAGCGTAGACAATGAAAATCTCCATCCCCCTCCCCCATTCCCACTAGGCTGCAAGATTCTTGTTTTCGTTCCTTCTTACCGGTGGAAGCTGTGTAAAATCAAATATGTAGAGGTGTGTAGTGATTTTTTAAAAGCCAACTAACCCACCGCACGGGCTGCGACGCGGATTACCCGAGCGCACGCCGGCTGTAAGTAAGTACCATCCTTTCCTGCGGTAGCCGGGCTCTGCGTCTCGGGCTAGGCTGGGAGTGTTCGCTTTGTGAGTCGGGTTGTTGCTTGTGTTTTGGTGTTTTGGTTCAAAGGGCCTTCTTCGAAGCTTGCACTTTTTGCACGTGAGCTGGAGAAGTGTTTCGCCCGTTGTGGGCGTGCAGAACAAGACCCTGGTTGACTTTGATGCGATGACTTGGGGCGGCAGGCGGGGGGCGGCGGGAGGCAGTGAGTCGAGGAGTTCCCGCGTCGCGAGCATCCTTGAGAGCCGCCAGCTCAGCTCTGGGCTGTAAGGTTGGTTCCTGGCAATGGATGGAAATCAGGTCACAGAGATCCCTAAGCTCTTGGGGCTCCCAGACGCGCTTGGGAGACAGAATGGAATTGGAAGGAGGGATCTGAAGGGGAGGGGATCCGCGTTCCCCCACCCCGGGCCTAAAATGGAGCCCCAGGCAGCAGCGGGCCGGGCCCCTCGGTTTTCAGGACTTATTCTTGCCGGAGTTGGCTCGCACGCTAGTATCGCGCCTTCGGTGCGTCTTTTATCTCCATCTCAAAATAAGGGATCTTCTTGGGACAAGGACTGAATAAGGGTGGGAGAGAGTATGTGTCTCACAGCGCCCAGAAGGGAGAAATTGTGTTTCTGAGAAGGTGTTTTTTGGCCTCTTGAAAATGTGCAAGAATTCCGCGGGCCCAGGCTTTCTTTGTGTGGCGGGCAGCGCCAAGCGCTTTGTGCTTCACAAGGAGAAAATGGCGAGTCCTATTGTGTTTAGGCCATTTTCTTCCGGTACAAGGATTTTCCCAAGTTCGAAATACTTCTTCAGAAGGTAGCCTTCTCGTGCCCAGGAAGGTGTGAATCGCTGAGGCTCGGCCCCATGGCCTGGCGTGGGTGCCGACCTCAGTTTAAAAGCAAGGGCCTGTTTTCTTACCGTTGGGGTACTTGTATCAAAGCACAGATACGCCCGGTGTGTGCGGATCAGTGTTCTCCAAAGATCAGCAGCGGCTCTTGGGGTTTGGGAAAATAAGTGTCTATTTATATATGCATATATACATACATATACATAACATTTTTTTCTGATAATCTGAAGGAGAAAATAAAAAACGAAAGACAGTTACGTTTTTGAAAGAGGCAATAGTTCTTTTTCTTTCTACTTTCTCCCCCTCTAGGAAACCCCAGGAGATATTAAATGTTATTCTGCTCGGTCAGTCTTTTGTTTTCTAAACTGAAGATGGGATGCTATTTTGGATGGAAGAATTATTCTGCATCTTAGCCACTGGAACATATGCTTTGCTAGAAAAGAAGTGTAAGGTGTTAGAGATGGATTTAGTTTAATGCTCTTAGTGTGTGTGTGTGTGAGAGAGAGAGAGAGAGAGAGATCTATATGCCTCTGTATAGCGATGTAAATATGAAGAGGGAGATGATTGAAAACGTTGTTTGGCTTTTGCCCCTTAATTTGTCATTTTTGCAATTGTTCTGCACTTGTTAAACCATATGTAAAAGTGAACAAGGATACCTATGCAAGAATGTCTATGTCACTTTTGAAAACCCCCAGAACGTATTGCAGGTTGAAATATATTATTTCCTATTTACTACAATTATTTGGATCTTTAAATGAAGTGGTGGTTTTGCCAGCTCAAAAACAATGTCCTAATGCAGACTTTCCCTATGTGCTTCCTGTATGTTCATTTTGGTGGCAAATATAGAATACTAAAAACAACTGGGATAGGGAAGATAATTTAAAGCCTATAGCGTTTCCCCCCTTTTGATATCATTTTAAAATGTTAGGGAGTCACATTTGTGCAGAGGCGTTGTGACTTTCATTTTTCAAAAGGTAACCCTAGTGTATCCTTTCATGTGGATCAAGACCATGGACAGCGAACTAATATTAAATCACTGAGCAAAAAGGACTCTAGTAAAATTTTGAGACCTGAGTGGAAGTTTACATTCAAAACATGTTGGAAGTCAAAATCAATCTTTATGATTTTTAAAAGGAACTCGACTGGTAAAATGTGGCATTTCAAAGTTAGTCTACCAAGTTTCAAAGAAACAATGATTATATGCTCAGTTTTTACCCTGTCTCAAATAGAAAAGTATATATTCTTTATCCAATTAAAATAAGATAAAGCCCACCTTTTGGTACTGGTAAATATAAAATTAAATCTGTCAGTTTTAGATGTAGAATGTTTTATATAAGGCCTTGAAACAGTATGGGGATAGGGAAATTTTACTGTTTTAGGTTGGCATTGACTGAATGACACTACAGAAAATTAAATTGATTTTTATCAGTGACTGAATTTCTAAATGCATAAAATTGGGAAAATTAAATGCCACTCTGATAGACAGGGATAATATGAATGGAGATATAATCCAGCTATTCCTTTTACTCCTGTGTAGGCATTGTACCCTATAATGTGCAATGTTGTGAGCAAGCACTTTTTTTTTTTCCAAGAAAGTCACAGGTTTTTTCCATATATACTGATTAGATTTGGGGCACAGGATTGGTTCAATGTGGCTCTGTGATGGAGATCAGGATATTTTGTTTTGTACATTGTCTGAATAGTCTTTACAGAATTAAAACTCATTTAAAACCATTTCATTTGTGGATTACGTAACCTTCAAAATTGCTCATTTAAATTTCCAGTTTGATGTGTCTTTTGGCTTATTTCATAACCTGACTTTAGTGCGACCTATGAAGGCCTGAAAAATCATATAAAGCAAAAACAATATACAAGTTAGAGGAATTAAAATAGCTTATAATTAAAATTAAGTTAAAAATACATCAACTTAAAAGGACCTTGGAGTTTATGAAGAAATTAAATTTTGATCTTTATTCTTCAGATTTGGCTATAAAATGAAACTGCAGTTCTTTGAATGTGCAGGTTGCTGGAATTAGATGCTACATATATTTTGAAGACACACACATTTTATTTTTAGACAACGTATTCAAAGTACTTGAGAAGAATATGCAATGACATTTCCCCCTGCCCTAATCAGGACCATGGTGAGGTCCCCGTGGTTCACCAAGTGGTGGGCCAGGGCTCTGGTTGGGACGCTGATTTAGGTTGGCAAAGAGTCATTGTTTTGAAAGGCGTATTGGTCCAGGAAGGCATTCGTGATAAGATTAAGCATAAACCTAAACCTTGGCCTGGGGGCAAGGAAGCCTGCGGGGTTGAGAAGAGGAGATGCAGATTAGCTCTGCTTTTGCTGCTTGCGCACATAATTAAGAGGCGGTCCCTCAGCTGGAGCGTGGGCTCTGTCCGGCCTAAGGTGCTTATTTTCCTGTTACTTGGCCAACCGAGTGTGAGTGAAAAGGAGCCCGAGAGCTTAAATGTGGGATCTAGATGTGTCGACTGGCGTGTGGGCGCTTGTCTCCATGTTAGGGAGAGGCAACTGAGAACGGCGACTTTGGCTTATTTTGAGAGAGCCTGGGTTTTGACAGCAAGACGGCGAGGGGAGCGTTTGGAGAGGCTGGAAGCTCGACGTCTTAGGGAGCTGCCTGCGGGCACTGCGTTGGCGCCAACGGGTTGTCGGCAAGGGCAGGGCGCTTGCCCTCTGCTGTACCCAGCCTCTGCAATTGGGGGCTGCGCGCCTTCTGCGGCTCTTTGGTTTCAAGGACACAGAGAGCTGCTCAGGACTTTGGGAGCCAACATCTGTCTGACTGGTGACGTCAGCAGCCCGTGTAATCCTCTTGTGCTGAAGGCAGATGCCTTATTTGTTTGGCTGGAGCGAGCCATTAATCCCTAATTCTGGATCAGCAAGCGAGGGGGAAAGACCGGACCGCTCCGACCCACCCCCTCCCTACCCCCATCTCCCACCTTAAAGCACCTTATACCACGGAAGCCTCTCAGCCTCCTCTTTCCTCCGCGAACGCGCTGAGCAGCGACTGAAAACCTTTTGGTCCTCTGCAGGTTTGAGCAGGGCTAGCAGGTCTCTCTCCTCCGGATTTCTAGGGCTATGTGTGTATGTAATTCTCTCTCCCATCGATTGTTTCGATTTTCTTGCCAGTCTTGCAGTTTGCAGGGTCCTAAACCAAGAGGGGTGGAGATTGGAGGGTGAGGGTCTGGCGTGTGGTCTAAGGGAGGGGGTGAGGCTGGGGAGAGGGGATGCGGAATGCGGGAACGGCTGGGACTGCACAGAAGGACCATCTGCGGACGCGTTTTCGCGGTTCCAGCTCCCGAATTCGCTTCTCTGGACGCGGTAGTGTCCACAGCGCGTGGCCTCCTCCTCGGGACTTCCGCAGCCCGGACCTGCACTCACAGCCACAGCGCCACCCTCCTCCCCTCGGGCTGCGGGCCGCGCTCTCCGTGCGCGCGGGGTTCCTTCTGCGTCCCGCTGAAGCCTGGGGACGGAGGTCGCGACCGGCCGACTGGGGTCCTGTCCTCCCGTCACCTTGTCTCCCTCGCGTGCCTCCTGCCTCGTGTCCCTGCTCCCCAGCCTCCCCCTCCTCTCTCCCGCCTCCCTAACACTGCGCTTTGATTCTGTTTTTCAGGGGCGCGTTCTGGGGTCTCTGCTCAAGACTACCTCTCAGCTCTCTCTCCCTTCCTCGGACTCTGGAGTGAGAGCGGGCCTTTCCCTCGGCCGACCACACAGTAGGGGACGCCGTGAAAAGAGCCGTCGCGCCCGCCGCCTCCTGCCCGCTGCGCAGAGGGCTCCGCCCGTAGAGGTCAACTTCCCTCACCCTTTCCTCTCTCCTGCTCGCCCTTCCTCCGCCCGGCCCAGGCGCTTCCAGCCACCGACTCCGGCCGCAGGCTGAGGAGTGCGAGTCCGCTGCGCTGCCCTGAACCGAAGCCCCTTCCAGGCCCAGACCCGAGGTCCGCGCTCCGGGGCAGTGGGAAAGCCTTAGTGAGCAGCCTTTTCTCTCCGCAGCAAACTCGTAGCCAGACCAGATGGGCCGCCCAGCTCTCCTGGGACTAGGCAGGTGCGGTTGAGTTAATTTTTCCGCATTACAAAGAAAGATGACCCAGTCCGCCCTTGGACTCTCTTTTCCCAAAATATCCCATCCAAACCCGCGGTAACATTATTGGAGGACACAGAGACCAGGCATATCTGTGTGTTTATCTTACAAGCACACACACATGTTTGTTTTCCCCTTTATATGCTAGATTTCATCCCCTACAGCAGAAAATGATTGGCGATGTTTCTGACGGAGAACAGGCAACGGCGTGGTTCTTAAAAACCTGCCATTCCTTACAAGTGCCTTAGAAGGGATTCAGGGCGAACCAACTGGGTTAATTGCATTCAGTAAAATAACACGATTACAAAATTAGATCTGTACCAGAGGGGTAATTAACTTGGATCCACGCCGTCATTTGAAAACTAGATTTATAGGCGTATGTATGTTTTTAGGCGTGTGCTGTAAATGGCATGGAGATATATGCATATGTATACGCAGACACACGCATCGTCTACACTTCCACGGAACAGACTAATTAACAGCGGCTCTGGCAGATGTGGCAGAGATGAGCGGAGACAGGAGCTGGGCTTATGAGTTATGACTCTGGGGGTAGACACTCAGAGCAGAGGGAGGGGGATGGGCAGGGAGAGAAGTGTGGTAGTCGCAGTAGGTCTGATACTTTCCGGATCAAGATCAGAGGTTCTGCCCTCCGTGTTCACAGCGGACCTTGATTTAATGTCATACAATTAAGGCACGCGGTGAATGCCAAGAGCGGAGCCTACGGCTGCACTTGAAGGACACCAAAGCGTCCCAGGGTCAGAAAGGGGAAAAGGCAATTGCAGGGAATTTAGAAGGTGGTAGGATGAACCCATCCCTTGCCGCATAAATGCCCCCCACCCCCACCCCGGACTGATTCTAGAAGCAACCTGGCGGGAAAATCTACTCTTCCGTTAGAGTCGCGGAAATCCGCCGGAAAATCTCTGAAGGGGATTTTAGGAAAGCTTCATTGACAGCTGTCAGGAGAGCAGTAGTTCCCGTCTGTGCAAATATTCTAAAGAGTTAAACCATTTAGAAAGCACTGGTTCTTTTAAGAGCAGGTAGTGTGATTGTCTGCAGTCCTAGGCCAAGCTGGGAAAACAAAACAGAAGAGAGAGGTGTAACAGTAAATGGCGTCTGGAACACATTGCGCAAGAAACCTCAAACGAACGGTCCAAACTTTGGAAAGATCTGAAGAACACCTGCCGCGCGCATTTCCCTTTGACTTCTCCCCTTCTCTTCCCAATCTCGAGGCGTCCTTGCCTGACTTTAAAACGCCAAGATAACTCTCTTGTTTTGGCATTGTCGCAATGTCCAAATCTGTCAAAGGAGTGGGATAAGGGAAAGGACCAGGTCAGAAACTTTAAAATGACTCGGGAAATTAATTTATTTGAAAGCCAATGAGGTGGACTATGTTGAGGTAGTAGTTCTGCACCACGGCTTTGGAGCCATAGAAAAATCCAGGCCGAGAAAGCGAGCCTTGATGTCTTTGTTCTGCCTTGGCCTGCAGGGGCTGGGAACAAAGGAGAGGCGCTAAAAGGATGCACCAAAGTGGCCGCGCCCTCCCTGCCGGGCGCTGTCCGCGGTGCTGACCGTGGCCCTCCTCTCTCTCCGTAATTAAACTGGGAAAGCCATAGGACCGTCCCGTTCCTACTCAAAAGAGTAGGATATTAGGTAATTTGAAAAATAAAATTTAAAAGAGAGAAAGTCCACATACAGCAAAACAATATTTTCCTGAAATCGTTCCCTCCAGCTGTTGCCACCCTTGCCTGATATTCTTTGGTCTTCACTTAGAAATGCACACAAACATTCAGTTTATGTATATGGGGAAACAATTTTCAGTTTATTTAGGCCAAAACCTGAATCCTGCCGTGGGCAGGATTGAAAGAAGGAAACTGAGGAGAATGAAGTCTTTATTATTCTTCTTCTTTCTTAAGTTGTCTTCCTTAAAACAGAAACCTGAGATCCCCAGACGCGGATCTTAGCACAGACTTAGTCACTAAAGGGACGTGCAATGGACGCAAGCGTGGGCCTCGAAACTTAAACAGGAAGGGGTGGTCGGAGACCCACCAGGTGAGACAGAGCAGGAGCCCCTGCAGCCTGCCACCTTCAGCCAGGCCTTATAGCCCGGCAGCCTTAGTTAGACGGGTCCAGAGGGTTGAGCTCTGCAGACCGCTCGGGTGCGCAGGAGCCTGCTCGGCACATCCCAGCCGGCGGGAGGCACTGGAGGGCCAGGAGGCCTGAAACCCGCACTGCGGAAAACCCGACCGCAGCCGCATCCTCATAGCTCCCGCGACGGAAAGAGGCAGGGCGGTTTACCAAAACCTATCCAGTGAAAATTCGCCTTAGGAATTGAAGGTTGGATGGGTCAGTATTGATATATTTTAAAAAATCTTTAAATTTCTCAACCTATTTCATCGTTCTTAGATATTGAGAGTATTAAATGTAAACAATACAAATTTTAATTCCCTAAGTAATGAATCAAAATAGCAAGGGAGAGAGAGAGAGAGACGAAAAATAAGCTAATTCATAGCCAGCCTGGCTGGCTATTCCTCAAAAGAAATTTCTATGCATTTGCTTAGGTTTGCCTATAAATTCACAAACATAAAGGCTGTTAAAATTAATAACAGATTGGACAATAGAGGTAGCAACACCGATTTTGATGCAGATATAAAAATGGGCCATGCATTGAAATGACCTAAAAGAGATGTGTTCATTAAGCTCTTCTTCTTCTCCCTCTCTCTCTCTCTTTTTTTTTTTTTTACACGGGACGTAGATGTATACTAAGATTCATGAGATAAAACGGCCAGGTGCAATATCCTCAGAGAGCTGTCTGCTCACCCCCTGCCTGAGGGCGGATTTTATCTGTTCTCGAATTTTAGAACTCTGCAAGTCAGGTCTTTCATATCCATCGATTACTTTGGTTTATATTTAATTTTATCCAATTTGGGAATGGGTAGGTAAAGCACAGTGGAAAATAAGGGCTGCTGGCATGACAAAATTAAAGGGTTGTGAGTATTCCTCTTATGCCAATTAAAAGCAGTTGTGGGAAGCGGAAATGAGTTTAAAGCATTACACGTTACCATGGCGGCCTTTCTTTCTAATATTTATCCAATTGCGCTGTTTTCCTGCATCCACAACTTGCATAGTCCACAAAGCACCTATGGTCCAGGGCTGCAAAATCGTCCCGCCTGATTCCGTTAGAATTCATACTACCTAGCAGGAGCAAACCTTATCCCCTCAGCCTAATCCTACCTGTTTAGGACCATCTAAACTCGGCCTTCAGAAATCTTGATTAGTTTAAAATTACTTTCTAAGTAGAAATGAAATACATGATATGAGAGAGGTTAAAATACTACTTAAAAAGGGAACACTCAATTTAGTAATTCGGTTGCCTAGATGAAATCGAGTGGCTATTGATCCTTGATGTTTCTAGATTTTTAAGACTATGTACTTTCTATTTCTCTGGAAAATAATCATCCAGTTTGATGCCCGTTACAAATTTTCCTGCTATGAAAGAAATTCTATGCGCAGCAGTTTCTCAGTAAAACAACCCAGGCTTCGCAATGGGAGAACTTCGGCGCGGCGTGCCGTGGGAGTCCTTTGACAATCTCAACTTTCATCTGGGTCTGAAATTAAAGCTTCTCGGAATAATTTAGGAACAGCTTGACCCGTTGAGATACTCAACGACAGCCCTCCAGGGAAATAGTATGTTTCCTTCCTGGGAACAAGATGCTAGCGCAGTGCACCGGGAGGTATCCGGTGTCAACAATGCCAGAGCGCCCTCTGCTGCCTCAGAGAGGCAAGACACCAGTTACAAAAGCCAGATGGCACAGTGGCAATAAGCGGAGGAAACATTAAGCTCTTAGAAACGTTTAATCTGTGAAATTTAAAAGCTCTCATCATATTCTACTTTTAAAAGGGCCACCTGATTTTGATTTTGAGCACTCCTTGGACGATATCTTCTATTCTGGAGGATAATGAAAAGTCAGTGTTTTGAAGTTTTCAGATTATTTCTGTTGGTATATTTCTCCACCCTTTCTCGAATTTTTTATGGAAATACGAAACTGCAAATCGGAGTGAAAATCCTTTGTGCAAAACAGGTGAGTGGAGAAAACGTCCTGATTTCTCCAGATAACCAAGCTCTACTAAAGAAAGAAATTTTAATTAAAATAAAGACATTAAGCACATGTTGTTGCATTATTTTAAAAAGATAATTAAAAAAGAATTTGCCTCGATGTAAGTGTTTTTTTGTTTTGTTTCAACGATCAACCCAAATTTTGCTCAGACTTTAAGTTTTGAAATAAGAAAGTGAATTATTTTTTAAAAAGAAGAAAAATTTTCTTCACATTAATATGTACACTATTTTTGCCCTTAAATTCTTTGCAATAAATGTATATACACACTCAGCTTGCAAATACTTCTTTGGAAAATAACCCACTATGAGTAGAAGTAATCAGATATGGTACTAGCATGGGCAAACCCATAAGAAAGGTTATTTGCATTAAAAATGAGTTTTTCAGTAGGGAAAATCGATTACCAAGTGAAATACAAGTTTTTGTTTTTTTTTTTTTTTAAGGTTCAAACCCTTTTAAATTTTTATGTGTTATAAGGTTTATGTCGATTAAAACAAATGTACTTTTGTAGTAATTCAACATTATGAATTTTAAGATTGCAGCATATTTTGAAACACACACTTTTGCCATGAAGACTGTTGTTGTATATATCAGTGCTGATGTAATAAAATGCTTCTGTTAACTATGTAGTTATTAAATAAATCTTGTAAAAATAAAGTTCTGTTTATTTTATCATGTCAGAACAAAATAGCTGTCTAAAATCACTTATTTTAATCTTACCTTTTAAATGAAAATGCCTATGAGAATATGAAGCTATAAGATTACTGAGGAAACTAAGATAAAATTAAAAATTGTATGACTTTGTAATTTGGTATAATTAAAAAAACATGTATTGATTAAATGATAAATAAGGTTAAATATTTGACCAACTATGTCCAGTTCCATATAAATGTAGGTACATTTGTCTTCTGAAAGGTCTTTCTCCAAATAATGCATTTACAAATTTATGGCACAATAAGTGAAGAAATAGTAGAACTTTTATGTTTTTATTTTAAGCATCCTTTTCCAAATTAAAAATATTATTTTTTCTTATAGTTAATTTAAATTTCTTCCTAAATAAATTCATATTTTATCCAGGAGAAAATAAACAGAGGGGCATAATTTTGCTATAAGTATTTTAGTTATCATAATCAGTTAAAAAACAACCTCTAGGTAAATAAAATATATAATAAAATATAAATTAAAAATGAAAATAAAATGCACTAAATTCATGGGTGGAAGACATGAACATGACTTTTTCCTATTTTAAAAACCATTCGATGTATTCTTTAAAAAAAAAAAGAGAGAGAAATGACAAAAAAAATTTAAAAAAACAGAAGAGAAGCAACTAAAGGAGCTTCTCAGATGTCCAATAGATGCTGCCCAAAGTAAAAAGCCTGCTCTAATATGTTATTCAAATTTGCATGTAAGGGTTTTTAACCTTTCTTTATTTTATATGTGTACAGGATAACATATTGTAACTGAAACACTCTTCCTAATTTTTTCCGGCTAGGAAAAGCCTATGGAAACATTCACTTCCATAGGAGTAATATTTATCTAAACAGCATATTTAGGGAAAGCACTAATAGAACACAAGCAACTAATTACCGATGCTTTTAGGGAGTAACCATAATAATAATTGTGCACTGTCTTGATGAAATTAATACAGAATTTAATATTTGTAGACCACAAAAAAGCCCTAATCGTGGACCTCGGATTTGAAAGAACAGGCTTCAGCACAATGTGTATCATTTTAGTATTCAGACTCAGCTGTCATTGCGATTTCTATCAGCTGCTACTAAGTAACTAATATACTGTAGAAATATAACTGAGTAGGAATTGAAAATAAAGTGCTTTAAGAATGAATAAAATTGGGACGTCAATAAATCAGAATTGATTGTCTTTAAGATAGAAGGTTAGTAGTTACAAACTGCAGGGAAAATATTTACATTGATGAACAAATCTCCAGGAAAGTAAAAAAGTTCAGATGTTGAATGCTATCAAGGCAAAAGAGAGTAAAATGGGAAGAAATTAAATATTTGAGACACATATAGGAAGAACGAAGAAGCAGCTTGACTTCAATTTTGTTTTTAATATTCCTGTAGATGTTTATGCAGAAAAACATTAAGGAATTCTTTGTTGTCATATGTCATAATTTTGATATTGTTGAATTAAGAAGGACAGGGAAAAGTTGAAAAACAAATAAGCAAAATATTAATTTACTATTCAACTCTTATGGATTGACAAGACAGAATTGTGTTTTTTCTTTCCTACTTGCTGGTCAAGTTCTTTTTAAACATAAAAAAGGGAAGTATTTTAAATATAATTTTATACATGGTACGGTTGTCTCCCCTTAGCCTCGGTTTGTTTTCTGTGGTTTTAGTTACCCGCAGTCATCTGTGGTCTGAAAATATTACATGGAAAATTCCAGAAATAGACTATTCATAAGTTTCAAATTTCATGCTGTTTTGAGAGGCATAATAAAATCTCGCACCGCCCAACTCCATCCCACCCAGGATGTGAATCATCCTTTGTCCAGCATCTCCAAGCTATATGTAGCTACCCCTTAGTCACTCAGTAGCCATCTTGATGATCAGATCTACCGTAGATGCAGTAATATCACACAGTATCACTTATGTTCAAGCAACACTTGTTTTGCTTAAAATGGCCACAAGGTTCAAAAGTACTGATGTTGGGAATTCAGATATGACAAAGAGAAGCCGTAGGTACATCCTTTAAGAGAATAGGTGAAAGTTCTCAAATTAATAAGGAAAGGAAAAATATTGTATACCGAGGTTGCTAATATCTAGAGTAAGAATAGATCATCTATTTCTGAAATTATAAAGAAAGGTAAACTTATGCAAGTTTTGTTGTCTGTATTCAAACTGCAAAAGTTACAGCCATGGTGCGTAAGAGCTTACTTAAAATGCAAAAGACACTAAATTTGCTGTTGGAAGACAAGAACCGAAGCATGTTCTGATTGAAGACAATCAGGTTCAATGCTATCTGCAGTTTCAGGCATCCACTAGGGGTCACAGAATGCATCCTCTGCAGAGAAGTGGAGACTACTGTCTAAATAATAGAATGACTATAACATAGCATATCCTGGGTGAATATCTTTCTTCTGCTAATTTGAAGAAAAAACAGGTGAAAAAGAAACTAGGCTTAGGAAAGTATTTCTTACTGATTTGAATGTTCTAAGTGGTAATGACAATGTACTCACTTAGACAGGATATTTAACTTGAACTCAGACACATTGCTTCTCAGGAATTCCCAATACTCAATGTTATTGTGAAGAGTGGGAGTCACAGGCTAAAGTGATAAGGACTATGTACCTCAGGCAAGGTCAATTTAAAGGTTACAAAGTTTGGGTTGCTATGAAAAGATTAAATAGAGAAAGGTGTTACCTTGCCCAGAGGCATGTAGTGTCACTTTTCCAAATCGAAGAATTTCTTTTTTCCCTGGACATCCTTGGCCTGATTTTACTCTCTCGATTCCCAGAATTCAGGTATAATAATTATGTTTTTTCATTGTCTTGATAATATCAGATAAACAGAAATTGGCTACAAGAATGCCAAGGACGCATTCTTTGATATGTGATTTTTACAGTCTGGTATGTTTAAAGATAGGGGCTTTGATTCTATGAAAGGATTATTTTTACCTAGCTTTTCAACTCAGAAAGCACAGATACTTAAATGCCCACTAAGCATCAGGAAGTTGTTTCAATTGGATGAGGGAAGGAGGGGTGTGGTGTGTGTACATATAAATACATGTATATGGAAAGGAATATTTATATTAGAGATTATAGTTAACATTTAAAACCTGGTTGTAAAAAAAATAAAACCAACTGTAGCTGTGGCTTGGACCTATCTCTTTTGTATTTATCTTCCTATTATCAGATAATGTACTTGGTGAAACTGCCTGGTACAAAAGGATTATTAATAAAGAATCATTAAAAATGGCTAGTTCATTCAGACTATTCTCCATACTCCTGCTGTTGTTATTGCAATAACTTTCTGCAGTAATCAACGTTTTCTAAGTCCGTGAATACCCTTTCAATGAATAAAATTTTTCTACGTTATCTTTCTACCTCTCTCTCTCTCTGCTTTTATTATCTTAATTAATGATGAAACCCAGTAAGGTAAGTGATTAGTTAGACCAATAACATCGAACATACCAATCACTCCAAAATGTAGGACCCAAACTTAAACCACAGAATGTGTGTGTGTGTGTGTGTGTGTGTGTAGACTTGAATTGATTTTTCTTTTAATCTCCTCTTCTTTTCATGATAAATAACTTCTCTCAGATTTCCGAAGATAAAAGTGTAGATTCATTCATTCATTTATTCACTGTTTGAGTGCTTAGTAGATGTCAGACTCTGTTCTTTGTGTTAAATATTCAATGGTGAATGAAATTGATGTGATTTCTATTCATATGGAACTTATAGTCTTTCTCAGTGTTAAATTTTCTTCTCTCCTGAACTTACTTTCTATAATTCATGGCTTTTCATCTTTAAGTGCTTCCATGTCACTAATCGGAGTTTTCCTCAGAAGAACAGATTTGTATTTTGCTATTCTGGGATAAGCAAGACCAATATATTTACATTTTTCTTGCAGATCCCACATCCTCATATCTTTGGAAACAATGAATGCTTTTTGCTATTCTCTTTCAAATTTAAAAATCAATTGACTAAAATATTAATAAATGCTGAATAACGTTGACTATGAAGTATTAACATCTGTCTCGATTGTGGTTTATTAGTCATGCTTCAATTTGTGTTTATTGATTATAAACATTTACTTTTATTATGTCATAGATTTTGATTTCAAACATAAATTTTGCCACATACATGCGCATCCAAACTCTGTAATTTAGTTCTTATCCTTCATGTATACATTCTAATAAGCTGTAGCTTTGTCCCTATTTTTTTCTTTTTTGCTGTTTGTTCATTTTCTTTTATTTTAATGAGTGATTTTTTCCAATTATCAAGATTATTTTCAGTTTACCCTTTCATTTTTGTATAGGACCTGAAATTTAACAAACTTAGATCAATGAAATTATTAATTGGTTTTATTGGATTGATTAGTTGAACACAACAAATCTAATTTAGTTATTAAAGTGGTCCTAATAACTAGACTCACTTCTTCATGACCTCATTATTTCAAATGTTTAAAATAAACATCAAATCAACTAAACACTCAAAAGCTTATACAAAAATATGCCCACAGATATGATTTCAAGTTCTTTTTAAATCAATTTTATGAGGTGTGAAGTTTTTAGATTTATGTCTTTATGAAAAACGCTTTAAATATCTTCCTCGTTTATTGCTCAGAACTGTTGGTCACCATCTTAGCCAAATCTTTGAAAGTGGCTAGATGTCTGTCTCTGTCAGACTTTTCCAGACAATGACAGGTGGTATGTGTACCAAATAGGTTAAACATGTTTCCTGTAAGTTTTAATTATTAACTTATCGAAGTCTTTGAGGATGAGGACTTCTCTAGCTTTGCAATGCAATTGGTATAATATACAAATAAAGTACTAACATTGGATGCTGGAGATTTACAGACTGAACTTTGACTTTAATTAGCTGACTAATTTGAATTACTTTATTTCTTCCACTAGATTTTAGTTCTATGTGAACTCAATTAGTGACTCTCCATCATGTGCAGTATGAATCACCTGGGGAGCTAGTTTATGAATTTAGGTTTTCAGGTCTCATCCTTGAAAGTTCAGTTTCAGCAGGTCTCAGTACATTTGAAGAAGCACCTCAGGTGGTTCGGACGCAATTGATACACATTTGGAGAAACTTGGATCAGCTTTTTAAGCATTTTCTAGATCTAAACATTTTGACTTTAAAGAAAATTAATAATGCAAAGATAGTGAATCTGATCACTAGATAGGCAGACCCAGAAATAATTGGTATTGGAGAATACCAATTGAAGAATTGGAGAAATCTTAGTTATAGTATACAGAAAGCGCAAGTTCGTGTTCTCAAAGAAGTCAATGCCAAGAGAGGGTTAAGCATACATTCAGTTTATTAGGAAAAATGTCTATGTGAGAAAAAATAAAGATGCAGCAGAATAATCTGGGAGATTTGTGAGACTGCAATGCAGTCTGATCTCTAACAAGAGAGGCAGAGAAGGTGTGGTGTGAGGGTCTTAGATTAACATGTAGTCTAAGGAAGTTTTGTCGAGGTCACCAGGAGGCTCCTGACAGTGAGTGGGCCGTCAGGAGTCCTAAGTCTTCCAAGAATATGCCTTCTCTAGTATCGCTACCGTAGTTAGTCACA